AGGTCTTCCTTGGGGCCTCCTTCCGGTGGGACATGCCCGGATCACCTCCTGACAGAGGCGCCCACAAGGCATCCCGAACAGATGCCTGAGCCACCTCAGCTGGCTCCTCTCGACATGGAGGAGCAGCAGCTCTACTCCGAGTTCCTCCCGTGAGACTGAACTCCTCACCCTATCTCTAAGGGAGCACCCAGCCACCCTGCGAAGGAAACTTATTTCAACCTCTGGTATCCGCGATCTGGTCCTTTCGGTCATTACCCAGCACTCATGACCATAGGTGAGGGTAGAAACGGTAAATCGAGAGCTTTGCCTTTCGACTCAGCTCTCTCTTCACAACAGCGATCCATTACAGCAACCGCATCAGTGCCGACACTGCACCAATCTGCCTGTCAATCTCGCGCTCCATCCTCCTCTCACTGGTGAACAAGACTCCGAGACACTTGAACTCCTCCACTTGAGACAGGGACTTCCCACCCACCCGGAGAGGGCAAGTCACTTTTTTCCGGTCGAGAATCCCACTAAATCCCACAAAGAATTTTTCAAGGTATTTTAGCTACCATTCCAGGCCAAGCAATAACATTTCCATGGAGATGAGCGCTTAGAAGACCATCCATTCGAAAGGTTACATAGTCCACCTTTAACAGATGCAGCATTTACCCATGAACTTCTGCTTGATTTATACACAGAGCACCGTATTAAACTCACTACCATTCTAAAAGTAAACAACATTTGGTCTCCACTTACAGACGCTTTCTCATTCCTTGTTTAGTGTGTTATATAACCTCTTTTGACCAGCTGTATAGTAACACCGCCTTTATTGGTAGCTTAATGCCTGGTCTTTGCAGTGGACAATAGCCATCATTAAATACCTCTTCATCCCCCTAAATGTGGACCCCGGCTTCCTTCCTGCTCCAGCTATCATTACTCAGAGATGTGTTCGGAGACACTAAAGGAGTTTTAACACACCCAATTTAAGCGCCAGTCGCAAGTATTCTTTATTTCGGTGCCAGTTAAGGTCACTAACACCCTTTTGTCCTGGTGCTAATGTTTCGATAAAGTGCTTTAAGGTAGTGGCTGTAATGGTGTGAAGAAGAGAAAGAGAGAGAGAGGGAGTGTGGCAGGCACTGCAGGCGAGTAGAGGAGTGGTTAATGGAGGGATGTCAGGAGCACTCTGTGATTAAGACATCTGTGCCCACGTTAGGGTTAGGGGTAATGTTAGCACAGCTCCGCCTCAGCTTCAGGTCCAATGTCTGGGTCACTGGTCAGTCGACAAGTTGTAGTAAATTTTGTCACTATTGAAAAACACACTCCTCTCTTTTCGGTTAATATTAGGTAATGTTGTCAATCTAGTTAAAGTTAATGACTCAAAATTTGCCCTAATATGAGCTAATAAGACTGAAGCATAGAGTGCCAAAACGACTTTCTAAAACCTCTCTTTGCCAATAATGCTGCTCAAGATTTTGTAAACCAACTCCACCACTTCATTGCTTTCCCTGGAATGTTCCACACTTACTGATGTCCATGGAGACAAACATGCGACTCCACAAAGCCAAGTTACATGTGAGGTCATTCACAGCAAGAACCTGTGTTTTGTGATGTAATTTTGAGCAATAAAAACACCAATTTAAACACATGATAGTGCAAGTTAATGTCTCTCTTGGAAGCCAAACATTAACATCTCCATGGAGACGAGCACGAACTTATCCTCCACCGGGAACGTGACATGGTGCACCTTGGTAAAACATTAATTGGCACCTATTCTTGAATTTAAAGGTGCATTGCGTGAATTTAATGGTGGAGGGTCAGCTACCTGTTTGTCTCAATGGAGATGTTATTGTTTTGCCTGGAATATTCCATGGTGTGACATTAAACATATCCATCTAGCATATTACAGTAATTCTTTCTCTGAATAGGGGCAACTCTCCACGGATCTGAACTGTAATGTAGTGCAGTGGTGTAAACTGCTTGTTTCTACTGTGATAAATAGGTTTAATCTATGGGGCCACATGAGAAACAGAAAATATTGTGGAGGGCCGGGCCAAAATGCTTAACTCAATGTTGCATAATATTACTATATTTGTCGGACGTTAAGGTGTACTTAAAATCCTAAAATTTTCACAAAAATCAACAGTGCACCTTATGTATTAATTCTGGTTGTGTTTATTGACCTCAAACCGATTTTTATGTGGTACACAGCGCTCAAAAATCTGTCAAAATGTTTTAGTACGACTTTTGTAACCTATGAAGCCGCACCGCTTGATGGATTGTTGGATCATTACAGCTACCGTACTCAGGAGCCTCGCGGAGTAAGTTCTACAGAAGCTAACATCAGTGCACAAGGAATTTTTTCAGCACTTATAGTTTGCGCAAATTAGCCATGAGGTTTTAAGTTTTGTTTCTGTAAAACATAACCAATGTGTGCTAAACTGCATTAAACACATTATTACTCAATGTATATTTGAGTTCTCCTCACAGGAAATAAAAAAACAAACTTAAATCCACCCACCTTCACATTCATAATTCACATTCACCAAGACAGGGAGATGATCTGCCAGTGGATCGTGGATGCCTGGGCTAAAGTATCAATCTCAAGTGTCATCTGTTTGTTTCATTTAGTGCGCCTTATAATCCGGTGTATGACATTATGCATGAAAATAGACGAGAGAATTCAACATTATTTATGTTGCACTTTATAATCCGGTGCGCCTTATAGTCCGAAAAGTACGGTAATTGCGTAGTTTTGTATGTGAATAAAAAACACTTCTAAAATAAAAGCAATTCAGCTTTAGTACATGCAAGAGATAAAATTATAAAATATGTTTATTTTGTAATTTCAAATGAGTTTAAATGGGCCGGTTAGAGTGAACCAAATCTGACCCAGGAGCTGTAAAGTGCCCAGATCTGGTCTAGACAAAGCAATAACTTTTCCATAGAGACAAACAGGTTGCAGATCCTACACAGTGCACATTTGCACAGTGCACCTTTAATTCGTTTTTATGCAAATATCTCATATTACACATTTAAATATTCAAATCCAAATATCCCTTTTCTGTTTATGCAATAAAACAGTGCGAATGGTTAACAAGACAATTACTAATGTAGTGAAACTCAAAGTAACCAGCAGCAGCATCAGGGCAGAGCACCAAACATTTGCTAAAACACTGGTGCTTTACACATCTTTGTGCTCAGTGAACCTCAGTGCACTCTCCCACTCAGCTCCCATGCCCAGACACTGTGAAATCGCATGGATGCATCTTATTGTTTTGTGCTCTCAAACTAACAAATCCAAAGCGTGTCTATAGCATGGCTCTGAATATAGTTGGTTCACACTGTGCATAGAGGCAGACGGCTCAGAGGTGTTATCTCACGTCTGCATCGCTCTGTTACTAGCTTCAAAACGGCAGCTCCATTGTTGGATACAGATTTAGTACTGTGCTATTATTTTAGGCAGGTGTGACAAATGACAAATGCTGTAAACTAACAGTGCTTTATAAAGTTAGGTTAGCTTTATTGTGCCCATAGGGAAATGTGTCCTCTATTTGACCCATCCTTCAATGCTGCTGTCAGGAGCAGTGGGCGCCGCAGTGCTGTACCTGGGGACCCATCTCCAGAACTAGAGCTCAGCTTGGTGAGGACTTTAGTTTAGCTGCATGTCGTGGGTTGATTGGGGGAAACCGCAGTGCCCAAAGGAAACCAACCTAAACATAAAAGAAACAAGTAAACTGCTCTCATTATTGTTGCTGCTGGCAAATTTATTACCTTATTACAGCATCAATAAAGTATTTATCTATTTCGGAAAGGCCCAGTTTAGCCCTTGGCTAAAAAACATAATGGTAAAGCCATAGTGAAGTTTAGATTTGTCTTGGTGTGGTCCTGGTTTAGTTTTGGTTTAGTTTAGAATTTGTTCTCTTTGTTCTTCTTTTATTTGGACTTTGATTAACCCAAGTTAGTTTTCTGTTTCATTAAAATGGTGTCATTCTGATTCTGATTTCACATCTTCATTTTTTGAAATGAAGATACATTGTTTACCATCGGTGTGCAAAGATATTAAAGTATCGATATATCGTATCATTTAATGTGATGATACAGTATCAATATTGTGGGCTGCTGTATCAATATAACATCAAGAGTATTTTTTGGTATATTTTCCTAAATTATTTTGTTACAGTGCCAGTTTTGTTGCTTGCTTAGATTAAAATGTTTCATATGAACTTTGCACAAGAAGACTTTTAGTATCACAGTCATGATTTAGCCTTTATTTTTTATTGAACCATATCGAATCTTTTTAAAATATATCGGATGGAGTCGAAAGTGCACTGTATCGAGATATGTATCGTATCGTGGCCTATGTATCGAGGTATGTATCATATCGGCAACTTCTCAATCATACACAGTCCTACTAAAGAACATAATGGTGAAGCCATAGTGAAGTTTAGATTCGTCTTGGTGTGGTCCTGGTTTAGTCTTGGTTTAGTTTAGAATTTGTTCACTTTGTTCTTCTTTTATTTCGACCAATTAGCCCCAATTAGCTTTCTAGGTCATTAAAATGATGTCCTTTTTATTTTGGTTACACATTTTCATTTTTTGACATGAAGGTACATTGTTTACACATTATACAGAATCTATACTAGCGCTGAATAATTTTGAAATATCAAATAGCAAGTATTTATGATTTAATACTACAGTTGTGTTTTAAGTTTGCAAGAGTATTTACATTTGAGATTGAATTGAATGATGAACTGCAAAATTTATTTAAAAAAAATGATGTTTATAATATAATTATTTTTCTTTACATAATATTTTAGATTGGCCTATTGTAACTAATTGATTTGCAAGACATGGGTGTATTGTACTTTTCCCAGAGGTATTTGAGCTGTATATGTTTATCTCACCCTCTCTCTGTTCCTTCTTGAGTTTAAGCCTGTCTCAGACGTTTGCAGCGTGCAGCTCTGTGCTGAGAGCTTGTTTTAGCTGTTAACACTGATCTGTCTCTGTCTCTCCAGGCTGCTCCCTCAGACTGTGGGCCTGCTCTACGTCGGCAACTATGACAGGCCCTTTGCCAACATGAAGGTGAGACAATAAATGTGTTGTTTTGTTCAATTTATTCCAGTGCCAGCCAGCTCCTGCCCGCTGTGCTGTTAGAGCTTCCTCTAACTCCGCCAAAGTCTTAAGCTCCGGATGGAAACCTTGAGTCGTAGGCTAGACTATTTGGTTCAGGTTCTTTCATTTGTGGCTTTCCAATTTCATATGCTCACAGGCTTTGGCAATCATGAAAACCAGTAGGTTAGGGCATCAGGTGTGAAACTTTTGCTAAGTGTATGACAGTCATTTCAGAACATTTGCTGTGGAAATTCTAAAAGGATATTACCCTGAATACCTTGTTTCTCAAATTGACAACAGATTTGAAGGGGACATATTATGTAAAAGACTTTTATGAGCTTTTAACCTTGTATTCCCCCTTCATTAGCATACCCAAAGTTGGATTTCGGGTGATTCATTCATACTGCTTTGAGTAATTTTGTATCCTCTGTACTTCTAATAATTCACACTATTCAGACTCCAGGTCGAACATTAATAGCCAGGCTGGCGCCACCTAGTACCCCCGCTCCATTCCATTTCTTTTCAGCGACTAGGTCAGGAATCGGAATACACAAGAGCAGGGGTCTCCAACCTTTAGCTCGGGAGCTCTCCACCCCCTTCAAGGGATTTCTGAATTAATTATTATTATTATTTACCATTGTAAATGTATCATTTTGATTCCTAATTTGTGCACTAATAAATGGATAAAGGTTAATGTTTTTTAGGCATCTAACTGTACCTCATTAAAGGCTTGCCATGGCTCTTCTACTTTCACAATTTCTTGCGACTGCTAACATTAGTTGCTCTATGGCAATTTTGTTTTGTAAAGCTCACCTGAGGAAAAAGGTTGGAGACCCCTGCACTAGATGGTTCGCAAAAACCCCGCAAGTTGGAGTTCGGGCACCAGCCAATCAGCAAAGAGCCATACATTCTGTGTTGGCAACGATTCCTGAGATCAAGGATATAAAGCCGGAACAAAGAGAATGTTTGGTGAATTTTATCAAGTGGAAAAAGTTATTGTCCTTCTTCCTAAAGGGTTTGGGAAAAGCTTAATATACCAGTTAGCCCCATTAGAGGCACATTACACACATCACGACCAAATACCAGCAATTGGTTAAATTAAAAAAGTGCCTGCTTACCGGCAAGCAAACCAATTCTAATGCTGCAAGGTCAGACGGTTCCTACGAAGTGAAACCAGCTGATGAATAAGGGTAGTACATTACGGGTTAAAATGCCATGTTTTTCATCATTAAAAACAATTAAAGTCCACTGCTTGCTATTAAGGTGAAATGCTAATATGAAGAACAGGATTTAGATCAATTTTGCAATTTACAATGAGCAAAATGTATCTGCACATTCATGCTAAATACCTGCAAAAATACAATGAAATTAAAAAGTGATTTAGAAGAAAGACGTGTATCAATCCACCCATGAAGTCAGTGGGTACAGTTTGTACCAGACAGAGATGGATACTGTCTTTGTGTCTGCTCTGTTCTGTGGGTACACTTGACTTTGAATCTATTTACGTTTTCCCCCTCTGTATCCACTCATTGATTTTGACCAATTTTTATAACCAGTCACTCACATCTGCAGAAGTTAATTTACTATTAATTCCTTCCAGAATCACAAATAACAGCTGACACATTCTGCCACAAATAGGCCAAAGCCATTTATGCATAAGTGCGGATAATTACGCAAATAAATCACAACATCAGCGAGAGCAAGCCTTTTATGCAAATAGTATGTAAATGAATTAGGCCAGCATTATTCAGGCCGTGTTTCATTTTTGACAGTTGGTGAGATAAACTTTCATTAACTACAGGGATTAATATCTCTCTGTAGATATGCCAAGCTGATCCATCATATTGAATCTGCTCTGTGCGAGGGATTCTTCAGTTAAACATTGTCAATAATATTTCAGTGTAGTTTACCGCACACTGAGGACAAGAGTTTTGAATAAAAATGCAATTTTCTGAACCGAGCCAGACTAATTACTTTACTGATTTTCCATTTGTAAATAACTATTTCTTTTTGTTGAAGTACGTGATTTTTGTCCATGTTTTTGAGCAAAATTTGTCTTGCCTTAATACAGATATATTGCATAAGCAGCTCTTGTGCTACACAACATGTTTTACTGTGCAGGAACCAGAAAGTGTATGTTAGCATGCTATTTGTTATTGCATTACCATGACAGCAAACTCCACTCTGGTCTCCGAAAGTTGTGAATAGGGATGGGCATTCGATTAAATTTTCATAACCGATCGTCTGGAGAATTAACAATCAATTTCCAATTAATCATTAATGTTTTTATATTAAAATTATCATTATCATTATTACTATTACTAATCTGCATAAATAAACTCAACTTTACAACATAAACCATAAACACAGAGCTACATCAGCCCGTCTGAGATTATAATGTGTTTAATTCAGCTTTGACACATTTGTTTACATCTTACAGAAACAAAATTTAATACACCATGGCTCATTTGCACAAACTATAAGCACTGCTCTTAGCTCTTAGCTCAGCTCTTTATTTAACAATCATTTCACTCACTTTATTTATGTTGGTCAATTTATTTATTTTGGCTGCTGCTGTGATGAAAAGACTGAAAAGTGTTTGTCTTTTTGCGCACTCAACTTTATGTTGCAGTAACCGAGATACTGTGTTTACATGCACCATGACAAAACCGAGATACTCAAAAAACCCGATCATACCCGGGGCACTGATGTGCATGTAAACACACTCATTGAGCGGTATAGTGATCTCCAAGGAGGTGTGCCAAAGCCGAAAGGTGGAACTGTGAGGCCACAACCCCAGCAACCTACATTCAGATTGTCGATTAAAAAAGAACATGATCGACAAAATTCTTAATGATGAATGATCCATTAGTCGACTAATCATGCCCTTCCCATTGTTGTGAAAAGTGCTTATAAACTCATCACTGTGAATAACTATAATGCATAAGATAAGTGAGGAATTACTTTGGGCCGCTGCAAACTGTTAAAACTGAACTAGCTCTGCTCTGTTCTTCACGTATTTAAGACTTTAAGTAGACGATTATGTTCTGTTATTGAAATTCATCCCTGTTAAATAACGCTGTATTCTCTGACACCACTTTTCTTTTTCTACCATTGCCATTATAGTAACAGTATTTGTATCAAGGGCAAAAAAGTTCATAATAAGCAAGTATAGATTGAGCAATAGACCGTATTGGTAGTTCATGCAGAGTTAATAATGATGAGACGCTGTTGTCTCATGATCATTAGCTTTGGCCTTGGCAGTAATTATCACTTCATCTGTATTATGGTCTGTAGGGAGCACTGGGGACTATGGCATGTCTATTCTTGTAATGTCTTCACACTTATAAAGACGCTGCCTTTCCTGGGTGACTCATGTTTGGGCTGTAAATATCGCTGGTACATGTGTAATTGCTAGTTGCTCTGACATTTCAACTAGATCAACTCTGCAGCCTCATGGTTAAAGAAGTGTATTGTCACTGATCAAGGCTATGGAGCTAATATAGAGTTCAAATAATTTCCCTTGTGGATCAATGAAGTTTGTTTAAAGCATATGTACTCGGAGACCACACTAACATTGATTTAGCTTCGGCAAACATGTGACTCATCATAACTGTCCAAATGTTCATGCAAATTGGTTGTAATGGCTCAATATTTGGATAACAGTTTTATCTTTGTCAGAACTTGGAGCCAGGACTTCAGGAATCAGCTACAGTGAGTTTTGATTTCAAGTTATCTGCAGCTTTGGAACAATACGGGCTTGTGCACAGTATTTAATCATATACTTAATTAAATAAAGTATCCAAAGGTGTTTTAATTATTAGCTGCTAATGAAATTCTAATTGTGAATTGCTATGACAACAGCGAGATTCAAGGACATAATGTAGGTGCTAGATTTGAAGCACCATTTTCAACACAGTCACTTTCTTGCTTTAACCACAGCTAAAGTGACAAAAATTTAGATGGTTTATGTAATAAAATAGACAGTCATATAGACAAGTAGCATATAGCATGGAGTGTAAAATGATGAATACATACATTTTTAATGTATTTATTAAACGTCATGAGTCTGAATAAATATGAATTTTATTTACTTATTATTTCCATATTTATCACCTTTTTATATTGGCATTAGCAAAAACCCAAATTGTTTCACTTCTTTCTGTGCTGTATACCGTATTTTTTGGACTATAAGTTTAAGGTTTATACGTTTTTTCATGGTTTGGGTGGTCCAGCAACTTATACTCCGGTGCGACTTACATATTAAAATTTTTACATTGTCAGCCGTGAGAGGGCGCTCTAGGCTTGTGTGCCAGTATCTGCTTCACCTATTACTCCTGTACTACTGTCACATGGCTCCACTGCACATGTCTCCTGCAGAAAGAGCCCCTGTCCTGCAGCAAGTACTGAAATATTCAGCCGAAAACAGTAATCGAGCAGCAGAAAGAAATAAAGAGGTCGCGGAGTTGCTCTGAAGTGACACCAAGGATGGAGAATTCAATGGATTTAGTGATTTGCAGTGAGAGTTTGGTAAACTTAAGTTATGTTGTTTATGCTATAGTTATCTGAATAACTTAATGTTAATATGTTACGTTAACATATTAACGCCTATTCAGCCTGCTGTTCTCTATTTTCTTGTTATTACTATACCTTGCCTTTCAAGATGAAATGACGGTTCCTGCTCTCTCATTTTATAAAATAAATTTCCCCCAAAAAGTGCGACTTATATATGTTTTCTTCTTCATTACAGATTTTTTGGCTTATACTCCGGAGCAACTTATAGTCCGGAAAATACAGTACTAATTATTACTAGTGTTGTCACGATACAAAAATTTCAAACTTGATTTCGATAGTAAGGAATAGATTCGATAATCAAAACAGATTTCGATACCATAATGATGATTTAAATGCTCTTTATTTAGACAATAGAATATGATTTTAAATAGTACTTTCTTTTATATTACCATTTG